AAATATGACAATCTACAAAGCTTGACACTCAGTCAAACCCTTCTATTGAATTCTTTTTGAGCTAAAGCACTGCCTAAAAACAATCCTATTTTCAGTGTTCCTGATTAATCATATTTTTCTGGTTACATTTTGGCACATCTCCAGTCCTCCTCAGCCATTTTGTATAGCGTATGGTATTCTCATTTAGATGCCTTCACAGGCTCTGCTTCAGTGCTTTTCAATCCCGCTTGCTGTCGGGACGTTTACCAGAGACACAGTGCCCCCTAGTGGTGCCTAGAAGAAGTGTGACAGACTGATTGTGCAACCATCATGTTGACAACGCCTTGGTGCCATGCCAGCAGCTCAATAGGAGAGCCCTCATTCAGCATAAGATGCCAGACAATAGATTTCCCTGATTGGAGAGTGCTCTTCTTAGCTTGACAGTGGTTCACTGCGTGGTATTGAGTAGCTGTTTTTCCCCTTCTCAGAAGCAGGCCAATACACCAATCAATGATGCTAATTTTAATACTTGAACTCAGAAGATAACAGGTCTGGTTGTAGGACTAAAAATCGACCCACACCACTCATATTCAGAGGGGTAGACCTGTTCTCCCTAGAGATTTGACATATCTGAGAAATGAAAGACAAGCATTGATGTATAAAAGTAATGATGTGGTCAGAATGTAATCAGAAACCTTTTGTTTTTTTTTCACTTTTCTATGAGGCGAGATGTAATGTACTTACACAAATTGAGCATAAAAAAGGGAAAAAAGATACCTATGTAATAGTGTTTTCACTTTTTCAGTGCATATTCTTATAAATAAAAAGGGTCAAATTCTCTTACCAGCGCTCAAGGACATTCAGGGGTATAAAGATGGACCCGGGAGACTGGAGAGATGAGCAGGGATGCCTCGGGCAAAGCACAATCAAAGCAATCTCATTCCGGTTACATGTGTGTTAGAGATTATGACAGCAATATGGTGCGATGAAACCTTGTTTGGCTAATCTGTCAAAGTCCACAGTGACAATAAAGCCCTGTCAGTGCTATATTATAAACAATTCATGTTGCATATATGATAGATAGTGAAGTAACAGACTGCATGTAAATAAGTTAAATACATGATTGTGCAACCTATCACTGCTAATATTTAAGCGGGAATATTCTGTTTTCCATTATAAGTGGTGCCGTCATGCATTACGGTGAAATCTCTGAAACGGGTCAAACGAAACCCAATTAAAGAGATCTAATCTTTAACGTAGCTACTGAAGCGCTCTTAATGTGCACATGTTTGTGTGTGAGGGGCTTGATAGGAGCTTAAATAGTCTGACAAAGAAGAAATGTAATAAAGCTCTGGCTCTCCAATAGATCATCCTGAGTGAATTTGCCAACATTACTCTTCCCGTTTCAAGGCTAGTAAATTTAAATTTATGCACACCTACTTTATCTTCCTTTACGTTCCCCATGAGGTGGCGAGGAGATATTCTCACCATAGGCAATATTCCCTTTCAGTAATTATATCAGTGTAGACTTCCTAATTAACATATGGCATGCATGTTCAGAGTGTACAGGAATAATGCTCTCAGTTCTCCACCGCGTCTCCCACTGTGTGATATTTTCTCCGCCGACAGATATTCTGCATTGCTATTAATGTCAATCAAACACATTCTCTCTGTTCAGGTGGCACAAATGCCCACAAACAGGGGCTCGGGCACACCAGACGTGTCGTGACATTCCCGCATCGTTGATGTATGAAAACAACAGTGGAGTGTTTGTGTGAAACGAGGTTAGCAAAACAAGGGGAAAGGCTGGGCTCTGTTTTAACAAAGTGGTCTGACAGAGGAGAGCTGCTCACGCACATATACACATCCGCAAACACACACACACACACACACACACACACACGCTGACACCAGACAGGGCTCAAGGCGGTCCTGCTGCTCCAGGACCCCAACATCTGCTCTCTGGAATAATGCATGTTTCATTTCAGATGCTCTCTCTCTCTCTCAAATGGAGCGGTGATCTGCCTGTAATGCAAAGGCCACAGATCATGCGGTAAACTCTGCTCTGGTAGCCTCAAAGCTGTCCTCGGGCGTTCAAAATCCAGCTACAGAGATGGAGGAGACTGGTGCGTCATTTGTTTCCAGTGCACTGAGTAATGGCTGCCACAAAGGCAGGATGTTTCAGACTAGACACATAAAGAAACACTCGGGCTGGTGTGCTTCCTAATGCACACACAAATGTAAATGTACACAAACTAATTATCAAAAAGCCCTCTAACCTCTATGTGTTTTAAGCTTACACTATGCAGTGTAAATGGAGATTGAGATTTGTGAGTTCTCTTAACAGTTGCCTTAATAATTGCCGAATATCATTAAGTAGAATATGAGCTGAACATTGCGACACAACAAATATTAAAGAGTAAGCTCCGTTCCTTACATTTAATATAGTCCATCAGTACTGAAACTTTTCACTCAAATACTCAAAGTTTGTCAGTCTGCAGTACAATTTGTCAGTTTATTTGCATGAATTTGTACAAAGAATATTGCCTTATTCACAAAATTAGAAATAAGGAAAAAATACAATTTTACAATGACAAATAAGAATAAAATGTATTAAATAAGGTGCTAAGTAATTAATAAAATATAAAAATATATGTCTATATACAATATATGGCCATATAACGAGGGATTGAAAATTTGTGAGGTCCCGTGTGGGGTGTTATGAATTGTGCTATAATAACACCTACAAATCCAACTCATTATATACACTATATATATATATATATATATATATATATATATATATATATATATAAACTTTAAAAGAGACAGTCGTATGTTTGTGAAAGATGCTTTCTTTGTTTTGGGGGAGATGGACATTGTTAAATTAGACCTTATTTATTGCATGAGAATTTGTTAATCCTTCACTATAGGTTAGGGGTGGATAATTTTACTATTTGTTTATTATGCAACAATACTTACAGTAACAGTTTTCATTAGTAAGCAATGCTATATGATAGGAACAGCGGTAACATGAGGTAAATTTCGCAGGCAAAAGGTTGTTTATTGTGTCGATAGTGTAGGGATGTATGTAGCACCATTCACACAGAAGTCACTTTCAAACCGAATAGAGTTCTGCGTGTCGATATGACCAGCTTGACCCCATTGCGAAATCAGGCAGAAATGTTTCGCCCTCACACACGGATTTCTATTGAAATGACTGGATTTCATCCGTGACAATTCACTTAACAAAGGTAAATGTGATGTGACCGCACCTTTACTCAAAATTAACTTGTTGTTTAAAATCAATATCACACTCAATTACTGTTCTGAATAGCAGCAGAGCTGTGATTACCTATGGCCTCGTGCCATGACTATGCATTTGGAAAACATCACTCTTGTGCTAATGCTTAAACTTATTGTTTAGCCGTCGAAAAAGCGACGGCTAAACAATAATCTTTTAATGGTAACAGCTTAATGCATTCAAACTTTGTGAACCTGAACCCTCAGCAAAAATAAATAAATAAATCAGAAACATCCTTTAATATGACATTGTACAAACAACTCTATTGAGTGGAGTCAATGTTTTGGGGAAGAATTGCTGGTCTAGCAAATGTAGATTCACTTTTCAGAAGTTGTTCACATTTTTGAGCATCATGACTCAACAAAGCTGCATGCTGGACCGCGTTGCTCATCAATGTGCCAAAGCATAAACAAAAAATCCTTATGTACTCCTGATGATTTACAAAGATGGTTATGATCGTAATACATGGGGATGGTTCGGGAAATGCTGTATGGAGAGCCTTGTCTTTTGGTTGATTGATTTTTCTGACGTTTGAATACAATACATTCTTATCAAGGCCGAGCGGGCGGCTCTCCTGACAGCTTTCTGCTTGTTGGTACATTTGCCTCAAAGAAAGTAATTTAGTAACATCAAATCGAAACAGACTTGTTTACACTATCTTCTATCCTCCTTTCACGGAGTCCATATACCATTTGTGAGGCGCATTAACGCCCGCCAAGTGCACAATCACTTGGAAATTGAGGCAACTGCTCTAGAATAATGGCTGAGCTTGACTGAGGGCTGTATAATAAATGACTGAGTCTCGTGGCACTTTTCAGTGGACATCCACACAGTCGCCATTAGTTTCCTAAGTGCACTTTTCCCCGCACTTCTAAATTGATTGAAACAAAATGTCACAATTATGCCCTGTAGCTCAAGCTTTAATTATTCATCAATTAGCGTTTTCTCCCCCCCTTCTTTTTTCTGAACTGATTTTTCATTCAGTTTGCAGAGATGTATGGTTCCCCTGCTGTTAACCAGTCCAAAGTCATTAGTTTCTGGCTTTGCAATTAAACCTGCTGCATTATTCATCAGGCCCAACTCGGTAGACTCTGCTCTGAGCTCAGGAGGCCTGCAAGAGAAATTAATTTGGAGAGATGAAGTTTCCTCTCAGGTTAGAACAGATGCCATTGGCCCAAACAGAGGGTAGGTATGGAGTGCTTTCATTGAAGGGAATTATAATGGCAAGCGTAAAGCCAGACTATAGAAAGGGGAAAAATGTGAATGGAAAAAATATCACAATTGGGCATAGCCTGTGGCAGGTGCTTCAGATTACTTAAAAATTACTTTTAAAATCAACTCAGGAGGAAATGTATAATGACTACATATAATAGAGGTCATATTGTTCACTTAAAAATGATTCAAATAAATCATTTTATTTCACTGTAACATAAAAATCGGTTTAAATTTTTTCAAAGGTAAAGTATTAATGACAGAGATGTGCATGACATTTGAGTTTAATATATAAGCATACTGCATTATTGTTAGATTCATGCAAAAAAAAAAGAAAAAAAAAGATCCACTTCTGCAGATATCAATCTGACAGCCAGATCAAATATTGTCAGTGATCAAATGTTGCCATCTGCTGGTGTCTCGCAAAAACATCAACTGTTCATTCTTTATAATAAACAGAGACTTAAAAATCAAATGAAAAAATGATCATGATCAGTCAGGGGGTAATAAGATGCATTTTTAATTTATAATCGTACAAGCCCATAGTACTGATGGTCATCTCTGTTGAAGCAGTCGTAGGAACACAGCAGAACTCTGACTGGAACAGACTGAGAGCTTTTCATTCCCATGTGCTGTTCAAGACAAAAGAACAGACTCTGATTACTAAAGAAGAGTCTAATATTCTCTTGTACTTTTATTGCCATGCAATGTGGATCATACAGAAAAAAAAGTAGTAATATATTGGCATTGTTGTTTTGGCTCATATTTACTAATCAGGGGCATTAAGTTAAATTGTGACCCTGTTAATATTTGTTGATTCAAATAACAAATGTTATGGCATAATAAACACCTATTATGCAAGCGTTATTCAGCAGGTTGTCAAACCATCTCTCAAACATCCTGAGCAAAGCGCGGGCTGCCAATTTTCAACTTCAGCTCTACTAGTGTGCATCGACTGCCTCAGGCACTGAATGCTGAACACTGGTGTTATGCAGAATGAGCTGGTACCTTCCTGGTGTTGATGAACTGCACACACTCCAGCCAGGTGGTGAGGAAGGGCTGTGAGCACAAAGCACACTGGCCCCAGTGAGACAGCATGTCCTGCAGCTCTGGGTATGCTGGCAGAGCTCTGGACACCACTGACAACTTATTAGTGCTCTGCTGAAGGATCAGCCTGGCTGAGAGCTCCTGAACACATTCAACTACAGTCAGCAGTGCCATGGAAAAGTTACAGTTAAAACTCACCATTTCTAATGACTTTGAATTTGTTTCCCACTACTAACATCCTCTAGTGGAATACTAGCAAGACAACAATCAGATTTGTTCAACAATGTGCAAAAAATAATTAATGATTGTAATAAATGAATTAATAAATCAAATAAATATATATAATGCAATATGTACAGTATATATGTAAAAAGTTACCTTTAATGAGAAGACTTCTTTCTCTTGAATGGACTCCATCAGTGTGAATGGAACTAAACTGTTTCCTTCAAAGAACAGTTCCTCCAATGTAAGAAACTGAAACTAAAAATTTAAGAAAAAGAACATTTTTTAAATATTATTTAAAAAAAAAATTATATAGTATATGAGTTAGTGAACAAAAGTTAACATTAATCCTATAAAGCCTTTTGATACGCAAATTTCTAAGGCATATAAATTACCAAAATGATCAAAACGTTGCTGAAAAATCTACTATATGATGCCTGCCATCACCTGGTTGATACGCTTATTCTTTTTAGCATGTTTTATATTGTTAGTGCTATTTCAAGATGAACACTTGGCTGGAGAAACTTGATTATTTTTATTTTTTACTTTACTTTGCACATATAATTAAACGTACAGATCTAAATATAGTGACAACTGATATTTCAATGTATTTTATGTGAGTAGTCTGCTATGCTGTTAAACAATCTCATAAAAGCGTAATGTATCAAATATAAAAAAAGCTTCTTCATTTATTTTTGTTTTCATTACTATTGTCTATTTTCCTATGTAAGTCTTCACGTGATTACAATGAATCACAGCTTTTTAAGTGGGCTGAAGTCCCACTAATCAACATTTAGAACCAGCTATATATTATTTATATTTCAGTATAATCATCTTATTTAATAAATAAATAGACAAAATGATTAGTAAATACCTAAAACATTTTAAATAAACAGCTGAAATGGCTGGCAATTTGTCCAACTAACTTACACCAACTGGAAACACAGATAAACAGTTTCCAGCAACATCCAAGATCTTCACATTTTTCCATCCAAGGGCACCCTAAACAAAGAACAAACACTTAATAAACTAATATGCATAAAAATGGAGTAAAGTATGATGACAGTAGTCTGTCTTGCCTCTGGTAGTTCTGTCAGGTTGTTTCGGGCCAAGTACAATTTCCTCAGCTGTGGTAAACTGTATAACTGCTGTGGTATTTGAGTCAGTTTATTATTAGTGAAGTTAATCTCGGTCAAACTCTTCAGCAAGCCCAGTTCAGATGGAATCTGCTGCAAATGATTGTCTGTGACACTGATGCTTTTTAGACTACACAGCCTGCAAATCAATTAAAACATTTAAAAAAGCAGATAACATGCTAGTCGAATAGCATCAACAGACTTGAGTCAACTCACCTCTTTATTTCTGCAGGAATGACCTTGATTCTATTGTGGTTCAAATTTAGAAGCTCAAGGTTTGGTAGACCTTCTGCAAATACAATACAATACAATACTACTGGACCCACTTCAATCAAATAAACCTGAATAAGAAAGAGTTTGATCTTACCCAGCACCTCTGGTGGCAAATGGCTGATTTTGTTTCCATATAAATAAAGTTTATTTAGACAACTGAGGTGTTTTAACACAGGTGGGGTCTCCTCAAGCACGTTATTTCCCAGATTGAGCTCGGTCAACTATAAATATAACATGAAAACGACTTTTAAAGTATTTGTCGTGCGGTTTCTTGTTTCCAGTGTTTTATTGTGGGGCAAACTTGTTAACTTCTGGTTCATATGCTATTTTGGGCTCTGTCGTAGAATAACTATATTAGTATAAAAAGTATAAAACAAAGCTATGATACAGATCAAACATACTCACCTTCTGCAAACACACCAGTTCAGACGGCAGACTCGACAGATAATTATTATTCAACTTTAATACAACAATCCATGTCAGCCTCCCAAAACATTCTGGAATATGTGTAATTTTCCTAGAGCTCAAATTAAGTGACTTTGATTTCGTTTTTAATGCTTTGATAATTGAATGGTTTTCCATTTGACGCTTCACTTGCATCTTCAACTTGGGACTTTTCTCATGTTTCCATGGAGATGCAACGCGAATACTGTCGCAGTGTTGACTGGCGCCGCCTGGTGGACTAACATGAGAATAACATGCAACATTGTAGCCTCAATACTGACTAGAGATGATCGACAACTTTCCTCGATTAGTGTACAAAATAGGAACTGAAGCGTTATTAAAATGTATGTTATCGTTTAAATTATTTTGTTTACATTATTTTATAATGGGAAAGTCATGTAGTAACAGGTTTGTATAAATACAGCTAAACATTACATTTTTGGGCATTTAAAATTAATACTTGCCCTTATACAACAATGCTTTGAATATCCGTTGAATAGACTGTGTCAAAATTATGAAGTGATATGATTTTAATTGTTGTTTAGTCTAACCTCTGATGTGTTTTTTCTGCTTTTTAAAGTGGATGACTATTTAATATGTTATTTACCACAGAAGTTTATCATTGATATAAAGTTATCTTTATTTAACGGCATAGCGTGACCATGATCCAGCACCTCTCCTCGACAACTTTCCTCGATTAGTGTACAAAATAGGAACTGAAGCGTTATTAAAATGTATGTTATCTTTTAAATTATTTTGTTTACATTATTTTATAATGGGAAAGTCATGTAGTAACAGGTTTGTATAAATTCAGCTAAACATTACATTTTTGGGCATTTAAAATTAATACTTGCCCTTATACAACAATGCTTTGAATATCCGTTGAATAGACTGTCAAAATTATGAAGTGATATGATTTTAATTGTTGTTTAGTCTAACCTCTGATGTGTTTTTTCTGCTTTTTAAAGTGGATGACTATTTAATATGTTATTTACCACAGAAGTTTATCATTGATATAAAGTTATCTTTATTTAACGGCATAAGCGTGATCATGATCCAGCACCTCTTAAGAGCAAATTACTTGCTTATATGCAGTTTTCCAAAAATAACAGAGCACATAGCAGTTTATTCATAAATAACACAGGCAAGCATGGACTGTTACATGACGCTTGTCCACTGCAATTGAAGTCACCAGCATGTGTTATTTCATCATCCTCTGTGAGCATCCTGACCGAATCCACTGATCCAAGCAAACCGGAATCAAATTCCAGAAGGTCCACTTCTACAGGCTAATTATGCACAGATGCATATATTAATGTGTCAGTGTTGGGTCAGCCCTCTTCCTCATTTGCCAAGTCTTTCAGAGGCTCCACAGAATTGTAGTGTTCACCAAGTCCATACGCATGCCGCATATAACTGAAAGAGACAGTGAAACGCGTTTAAGTACAGCAGTACAGAAACCTTTTGTACTAAATCTTATTTTTAAATAAATAAACATCCTCAGTTATTTACACGAGTGTGATTGGTGGCTTGTCATATTCTTCACCAATATTAATAGAGGGGGATTCTGCCTGAATGACTTCTATCGGTAGCTGGAGGACCTGTGAAAGGGCTTTTAACTGTCATGGAGAAAATATGAAAAGCATTGATATAAAAAAAAAATAGGCAAATGGTGGATTATGACTTTTAATGTGCCATTTACAACGGCATATTGTCTGGTATTCTTACCTCTAACTGTCCGCCCCAAGCAGCTGTGTCTGCAACATCATTGCAGTATTTCTCAAACTCATCTAAAGTAAAAACGAATTCAGAATCCATTCATATCACGAAACAACAAGCATTCAGCTTAATGAAATACTTCTGCACATATCCATTCAAAACTTTGGGGTCAGAAAAGTGAGAGTAAAGGCATTTATAATGATACAAAAGATTTCCATTTCAAATAAACACTGTTCTTTTGAACTTTCTATTCATCTGTGAATCCTGAAAAATCAAATGTATCACAGTTTCCACAGAACTATTCAACATTGATAATAATCAGAAATGTTTATTGAGCAGCAAATCAATAGAGGGGGATTCAGCCTGAATGACTTCTATCGGTAGCTGGAGGACCTGTGAAAGGGCTTTTAACTGTCATGGAGAAAATATGAAAAGCATTGATATAAAAAAAAAAATAGGCAAACGGTGGATTATGACTTTTAATGTGCCATTTACAACGGCATATTGTCTGGTATTCTTACCTCTAACTGTCCGCCCCAAGCAGCTGTGTCTGCAACATCATTGCAGTATTTCTCAAACTCATCTAAAGTAAAAACGAATTCAGAATCCATTCATATCACGAAACAACAAGCATTCAGCTTAATGAAATACTTCTGCACATATCCATTCAAAACTTTGGGGTCAGAAAAGTGAGAGTAAAGGCATTTATAATGATACAAAAGATTTCCATTTCAAATAAACACTGTTCTTTTGAATGTTCTATTCATTAAAGAATCCTGAGAAAAATTATTTCACAGTTTCCATGATAATATTAATCTACACAACTGTTTTCAACATTTAAATAATAACAAATATTTATTAAGCAGCAACTCAGCATATATGAATGATTTCTGAAGGATCATGTAACACTGAAACTGGAGTAATGACTGCTGAAAATTCAGCTTTACCTTCACAGGAATAAATTACATTTTAAAATATATTAAAGGTGACATATCATGAAAATCTGACATTTCCAGGTTTTAAGTGCTATAATCAGGTCCCCGGTGCATCTACCAATCAAGGAAACGTGAAAAAGATTAACCCAGTAACTTTGTTTTGGGAAGCCTTTTTCTGCAAGCGTCTGAAAAAACGAGCGCGTCAGATTTCGCTCCCTTGGTGACGTGGCAAAGGGATCTTATTATAATATTACCGCTAAAATTATAATTTGATTTCACAAGCGACAACTGTGTACCAGTTCTAATGCCATGGCGAAAGTTTGAGCAAAACATGCTAACTGTTCTGTCTTTGTCTGGACAGACGAGCACAGAACACTATTTACAGTCCCAGCCTGAGAGGAGACAAGAGAGCAGTGGATTTATTGATTTATTTAAAGGGGTCACATGATGCTGCTGAAAATAACATTATTTGGTGTAATGAAATGTGTTTATGTGGTTTAAGGTTAAAAAAAACACATTCTTTTCCACTTACTGTACACTATTGTTTCTCCTCTATGCCCCGCCTTTCTGAAACACGTCGATTTTCACAAAGTTCACCAGTCTGAAAAAGCGAGGTGTGCTCTGATTGGCCAGCTATCCAGTGCATTGTGATTGGCCGAATTCCTCAAGCGTGTGACGGAAATGTTACGCCCCTTACCATACTGTGATGCCTGCGGCAACCACATTTGACGACCCCGGGCTGGACTCCGCTTTGTCCACGGTGAAAGCCGATCCACAGCGCGAAGTTGAAGTATTTCCTCAGCGACCAGCACGGTAAACAAGCGATTTATTTCCCAGCTGTTTACCTTCACAGTCATAACCGACTGTCAGACATAACGTAAACTTGTGTGTGAACGAGAACTTAGTTTAGTACTCGCATACTGTGACAGCCGCTTTCTGTATGTGTACTCATATGGTTTAAAACGCATGATTTCAGCACAATAAACATGACAATCAGAACCAAAACAGATGTTTTTAGCAGGTACGAGCTGTAATGGCGCAGCTCTATTCTGGAAAAGAGGGCGGGGAGCAGCAGCTCATTTGCATTTAAAGAGACAAGCACGAAAAACAGCATGTTTCTGCTTCCACTGAAAATAGGCATTTTCAAATTGATATAATAAATGATCTGTGGAGTATTTTGAGCTGAAACTTCACAGACACATTCTGGGGACACCAGAGACTTATATTACATATTGTAAAAAGGGGCATAATATGTCTCCTTTAAAATAAAAACCAGTTATCTGAAATTGTAATATATAATTTTTTTACTGTATTTCGATCATATTCTGGAAGTGTATGGCAGAGAGTTTGGCATTCACCTGCAGTGTACATGTCTCCTGAATTGGGGTCCGTGAGGAACGGCAGGAAGTCGTCTGCATGGCTCCTCATGTACTGAGCTGTTTGAGCCCGAAGCTCTTTAAGGCTGAGAGGGGCACCTCGCTCCGTCAGCTGATCCTCCACGGCGCGGTACATGCAGTGACCGTCAGAGGAGATCTCTCTGATCTGCAGGTGCCTCTCCATCAGCTTCTGTCTCAGCTTCAGACCCTCCTGATGACGGGAGCCTGTGAGATTCTCCACTTCTGCCTCAGCAATCCGGCTATCCCGCTCCTTCTCAAGAGCAGCCTTTTTGTCCTAAATACACCAAGAATTTTTAGCATCCTTAAAAGAGACTTTAAACTACAGCCACCAAAATCGAAAATAACTTACCCGTCTCTTCTGGGCTTTAGATGTCCGAGTTTGCTTGCTTGAATCCGTTTTTTCCTCATCATTTGCCAAACTGACGGAATCCATTGCATTTGAAGCCTCCTCCACCTTGGAACAATCCATGATTGTATAAGTGAGCTGCACTCATATGCATCTACTTGACAGTTTCTAGGTAGTGTGTTTTAACGTCTAACAACATCACAGCTTGACTTACTGAGGAAGAGTTCTGAAGTTGTTCGAGCTCATTTTCATGTTTTTGAGTGAGTTCAGCCTCTAGTTTGGCGATGTCTTCAGTCAGCTGTTTCCTCCTCTTCTTGTCATTTTTGGGAACAGCATTTTTCATAATTTGTATTTTTGCTACGACACAAAAAAGCATCTATATTTAGTATGCACTATACACATATTTGTTTCGTTTATATAATCCTAGTCTCATACATATTTATAGATTTATTTTAATTTAAAGGTAGTGACATGTTGTCTTACCTTGCAGATCTTTCTTTTCCTTGCGATGCTGTTTGGCTAACAGCTCCTCTGCTGTCTCCACTTCCTCCATGTCAAAATTAACGAAATATTCAGAGCAATCAATTGTTTGCTAAAATGGACCTAAACGATACACATATTATTCACTTCCATCAGTTGGAGTTATTACTCTGCAAGGACTGAATTGCGGTTTCAGCTCATAGAGATCAATTGATTCTCAGTTCGATTGATCAAGCGCATGGATTCAATGGGAACACAGAAACTGAACACATCCGG